TAAAAGCATCTTACAGGCCCCACTAAGCAATGTAGGCTTGTTTAATTTTGATTAAAATTAATGACAATTCAAACTAAATTATGATCACGTAATGTAACAATTCAAACTAAATTATGATCACGTAATGTAACAATTCAAACTAAATTATGATCACGTAATGTAACAATTCAAACTAAATTATGATCACGTAATGTAACAATTAATCATGGTCGTTCCGATCCAGCGACTAGGAGGTTGATGTACGGCTTGTGTGTCTTAAGAGGTACATGTTTAGCAGGCCGCCAGCATCAGTCCTTTGTTATGTGACTCCGATTCTCTTCTCATGAAAGGTCTTGCGTACAAAGAAGCTCTTAGTTGGATCATAGGCAAATATCTGAGTAATGTTCGCATCGAAATGGACTGAGAGTGATGTATGGTTTTTGTGTCTTAAGAGGTGGAGGTTTATTCGTGGCAACAAACAATGGTCTTTTGTTATGTGACTCGGACCCCCTTTTAGCGAAAGTCCTTGTGTGCAAATAAGCTCTTAGTTGGATTACTTGGATCATAGGTAAGGGTTTGAGTAATATTCGCATTGAAATGGACTGTCAAACCTTCATTCGAGCCTTGACAGACAGTTTATTTCCCCGTTCTTATGTTAACATTGTTATGAGTGATTGTTTGAAGAGTTAATTACCGATTTGGTCCCTCGACTATGAGGATTTCACCAATTTGGTCATCGACTACCAAAATTACTCAATTTGGTCCTTGACTATGACATTTTTACCCGATTTGGTCCTAAAGTCAAACCAGCTTGTTTAAGGTAATAAACTTAAGGACATTTTTGTAATTGCACATCGTTTCCTTTCGCGACTGTCTAAGTTAATTCCACGCTTTGCCTTATTTCAGATAAACAAAACCTTATAATCGTTGAATTCCCAAATACGAATGAAAACCTAATTGCACAACTCTAGTCGAAAATTTGAGCAATGAGTTAAGAAATCATCTGTCTTTCAAGCAACAACTATAACCCTACATCAATGGGCGAGCAGAGCACCGACGTGTGCGGATTTGTGGTGACTTCTGGTTTCAGCTAGCTCCTTTCTTGACCTCTCACCCTCGCTCCTCACTCATCGACGACACAGACTATAGATCGGTGAAGTGTTGAGCAGTGGCAGCAACAAGACACGGCGGTGGACCTCCGTCTCTCTCTCCCTCTCATCTCAAAAGCAACTCTGGCGATGTCCTTTTCCGGCGAAGCAGAGCAGGTCAGTGGCAAGCAACGGTCGCCCTCTCTCGCTTCCTGTCGCATCGGCAGTCTTAAAGGAGCTCCGGTAATAGCAGCTCCCACCTTCTACCTTCATTCCGGCTAACCTAGTAGTAGCAGTTGGAGGTAGCGTTGACTGGCGTGCAGCGACGGCATTACTTTCTGAAGGCATCCACGAAGTTGTGGATGGTAGTGGTGTCCAACAGTGTAGTTGAGAGGTGATCGGCTATGGTGTTGAGTTGATGTTGAGAATGAAGGGTGAAGTCTAGTGAAGAAATATCATGTTGGCGTTGATGATGATGTTGTCTGGAAATTGGAGATGATAATAATAATTTGGATTGAAGATGATGAGGTAATAATAATTCTTTTTAATAATTCCCAAATTGCCCTTTAGGTTTGACCGACAAATAACACTTAGGACCAAATCAAGTAAAAATGCCATAGTTGGGGACTAAATTGAAAAATTTTGGTAGTCGAGGACCAAATTGGTGAAATCCTCATAGTCGAGGGACCAAATCGGTAATTAACTCTTGTTAGAACCTATTAAATTTTGTTGTATCTTGTTCTATCTTTTTTATTAATAGGTCGGCAAACTATATGGCTCATGAACTAGTCATGGCGGTGGACACTCAGGCTAGTGCATCCGTTTTGGAATCGGAGCCCTCACACGTATTCAACCTTTTGTTGCTTAATAATATTTCTTATTTGATGGTTTTAAAAAAATCACGGTCACTCTTAGCACCACGACACAATATTGTCAAATGAATATATCTATGATATGGTCAAACCACTTCATGCAAGTGAAACTCATACTATAATTTTTTATTTTATTTCATATTTATAGAAAAGTAAATTTTTACATAGACTAAATAACATCAGTTGACCTTAAATTGCTAAATCTACTCCTCTTGAATTCTCCTCCTAAATGACATTTTAATATATTTTGACAGTTGAGAACATTAATGCGACTTAACTATGATTTGTATAATCTTAACTTTTTTATGTATGGGAAAAAAGCCCCGTGCTATTAACAAGTTGAAAGCACATGATGCCATGAAAGGCACATGAAGCTAAGTGAGCAAGGTAGGCCGCGTACCACAATGTTTGGAACATCCCTACATCAAACGTGGATTTCAGAAGTTCACTATCGTACTCCTAGGACACCAGACTGGTAGGTCAAGCCACCACAAGAATGGTGGATTGACCCATCATTCTCAAAGACAATAACAGTTCAACAACCCACTGCAAAACTCCAGTAACCACATTCTTTAAAATGAGTTAATACCCGAAATGGTACACGACTATAGTGATTTTTCTTAATTTCGTCCTAAACGATTTTGGTGACTTAACGTAGTCCCAAATTTTTGTGTTTTTGCTCAATTTAGTCCTCCATTTGTTATTTCGTCAAATTGGTGTTAAATAAAGAAACAATTCAGTAATCTCAATATTGGTTTCTCTTTATTCTCAATCCTGCGAAGTGAGAAATCCCCATTTCTTTTATGAATTACTCTCTGAATTACTCCCAAACCTGCGAATCAAATTTGATTCGCAGGTTTGAGAGTAATTCGTAAAAGAAAGAGGGATTTCGCACTTCACAGGTCTAGGAGTAAAGAGATGTCAATATTGAAATTACTGAATTGTCCCAAAAGCACGAAAGTCCGGGATTACATTAGGTTAGGTCACCAAAGTCGTTTAGGACGAAATTGAGAAAAATCGTTATAGTCGATAACCATTTTGAGTACTAACTCTTCTTAAAATAGTATTGAAGAAAAGGACCACCTTTCCGGTGCAATGCTTTAAATATGGTTTAAAAGCCTATGGTCAATTGCTGCAATGGTAGTTTGCAACTTATTATCATTCATGTGTTCATTTATATATACCAACAGTCTATGGTAAGAAATGAGGCTCTGCTGGATAAAATTTATATCCATGCCTGACAAACTGAACTATCAGAGCTTGTATTAATGAACTGCACCACCTCGTGCATAGATCTTTGAGCATATATTTCATGATTTCATTGTACATCTAAGGGGTTAAAAGTCGAAAAATTGTAACATTTTACTAAAAGTCATACTGCTCCACCAAATATATAACACTATTTAATTTCCAGCTAGGTCCAGAGTGTAGTCTCCTTAAGAAAGCTACAGAAGAACATCACAATTCACAAACAACTTAACACAGACATCTCTCATCTATATTAACATTTCAGTCTTGCAGAATGTCAGCAATGGAGTTCAAGGGGGAGGAGAATCATTGGAACTTAGGATATGAGGAGCAGAAGAAGATAAAGTTACCGAGAAGGCTGTCTTTTGGTAACGATGAGCATGATTCTCACCTTGTTTCTGGAAGAACATCCTGTGCATCTGCAACGTCTTTCCCACTTTGGGCAATGAGCCCTGGGACACCGTGGGCGAGATCTCCCCTGCGCGAATCACCTTCCCCACCGCTTATTTATCATTGCCTGGCATCACTCCACCGCAGAGAAGGTAACATCTTCTCCATAGCTGTTTCACAGGAATTAATTTTCACAGGGTCAGAAAGCAGCAGGATCCATGCATGGAAAATACCTGATTGCATAGAGATGGGGCATATCAAGGCTAAAGCTGGTGGAATCCATGCCCTCCTCGCCTACGACAAGTTCCTGTTTACAACACATAGTGACTACAAAATTCGGGTATGGGATGTGCAAGTCAAGGAAAGTTTTCAACCAAAGAAGATAACTACATTGCCTCGGGGGAGATCGTTCTTCCTGTTACCTGGGAGAAATATCCAACAACATAAAGATTACATCTCATGTATAGCTTATAACCATTATGAAAAGATTCTGTACACAGGGTCATGGGATAAAACTGTCAAGGTCTGGAAAATCTCCAAGAAGCACTGTGTAGACTCATTTGTTGCTCACGAAGGCCCTGTTAATGCAATCGTGATCAACCAAGAGGACGGGTGTGTCTTCACTTGCTCTTCAGATGGCACAACAAAGATATGGAGAAGGGTTTATGGAGAAAGTTCACACATTCTCACTATGACACTCAAGTTTCAACCTTCCCCCATTAATGCCTTGGCATTGTACCTATCACCTACTGATTGTTTCCTCTACTCCGGTTCATCAGATGGGTTGATAAACTTCTGGGAAAAGGAGAAAATGTCTGGGAGGTTTAACCATGGAGGATTCCTACAGGGTCATCACTTTGCAGTTCTCTGCCTTGCATCAGTGGGGGAGTTAATCCTTAGCGGTTCAGAGGATGCAACTATAAGGGTGTGGAGGAGAGACGGCAACTCCTTCCACTCATGTCTTGCAGTCATTGATGGCCACCACGGACCAGTGAGGTGCTTAGTTGCGTCCGTGGAAACACAAGATATCATGACTGGTTTGTTGGTCTATGCTGCAAGTTTGGATCAAACTTTCAAAGTGTGGAGAGTCAAAGTGTCTCCATCTGAGAAAGTAAACTCGGAGAGATCAGTAGTCACTCAAAACTCAGAAATTAAAGAGTGTGAAATGATGAGCCCGGTCCTTTCACCTTCTTGGGTAGAGAAGAAGGTCCAGGGCATTCATTTCTAGTGGTGTTACTATGGTAGGAAGGAGGTTGTAAGGCAGTGCCAGCCAGCAAGATTAGGTGGAAACATTGTTTCAGATTTTTAAGTCTCCCTATTGTTGTGAAAATGCTTAAATGCTTCCTCTAACACCAAACTTTTTTTTTTCTGGTAGATAACTATAAAGATTAACAGCTACTCATCAACCACCAACCAACCTTACTTCTGTAATGCCAACGAATCTAATGAGTCGTTCAATGGGAAAGATGAGCATAAGATACAATGCAAAATAAGCATCCATGTAATAGCAGAATGAATCTTTTGATAATAGGTACACTAGAAAAACTGTATGAAAACTGATTAGCAATCTAGAACAAGCAACAGGTTTGCTTTTTTAAGCATCAATGATCAATCTAGTTGAGAGTCACTGGGAAAAGGAATGGAAGCACAGCAACGGTAGTACCCATTTTCTTCATAAGCAAACCTCTGTGAAAGATGGGCTTCACGGATAAGATACTCCCCCCATTCTTCAGAGCCATAACGTTTGTATATGGTTCTTGCATCAAAGGAACGATTCTTTCTTGACCTCTTCCTGAAATATAAGGATATATCATTAGCAAACTTAAGGATGTGGGAGTACAACCCAACCAATGATAATAAGTGAATGAGTCTGTAGTTGCATCACCCTCTGATATGTCTTGCATTCATTACAGTGGCATGCAACTGCATTTCAATGAGCAGAAAAAGTTAGCCAATAGCATGCCTAACCACCTAAACAACAAGAAGATTTTTACGAAGAATAAAGAAGCTCAAAGAAAGTAACCTTTAACTTTTGTTCTTTATCCTTTTCAAGAACTAGACCAGCTTCAATGAATGCATTAGTGATGACTTCTAAGAAAGCTTAGGAATAACAAAAACATACATAGTACATTAAATGATTTTGAATCAGCATTCATGAAAATCTTACTTTTTGAAAATATGGAGTATATTGATAAATCAGTAAACCAATTGAAGGGGAAAAAGCAGATCAAATTATGCCCACAAATTGTGGATACGACAAGCGCGAGAAAGCCGCCCTTCACTACCAATTTCTTCCACAGGTGCATAGAGAACACGAGCATTGGCCAAGGAACCTTTCATGCACTCCTGCAAGGACATGAAATGTAATTTTATTTCAAACAAGCAATTATTAACTCTCTACTCTAGCCTCTCTGTTTAGATATATCCTATTACAACTCAATAGGATCAAAGTACATAACATTATCTTTGAAACAGCTCTGAAGATCCTATATCCTGTGATCCTGTCCTTGAAAGTAGTTGCACCTTTTACAAGATTATTTTCTAGTATTATCAGATAACCTTTTTGATGGACAGAATATGCACCTGCTGGTGTTACACATATGGATGCATTTTGAGTTGATAAGAAAGTAAGTATTTATCTTATGTTCAGTGAGCTGTCCTCCGAAACTAACCCATTTTAATGGTCCATGTAGTAAATATGATTCCAAATTTTGTTTAAAAAAAAAAAACAGTATAAGGCTTTCATAAAAAGTATAAACATAACTAATAAGTAGATATATACACAAATTATCAGAAGACAAAACAAAAAATAGAAAGATCATAAACGTTTCAGACTTGTAGAACAAACAAGTACGAGATCCTATAAAGTAGTTTAAGTCAGAAGGCACCTTACCAACCCCTTAAGTCGAACAAAGACAGGTCTGTTCTCCAAGGCATCAATTACTTTTGATGAGACACTCTAAAATGGAAACATAAAAATGCAAAATTATAATGGAAGACACAGAAAGATTCAAAGGAAAAGGAGCAAGGAACGAACTTTTCAAAAATGCAACTTTAAAGAGAACTTTACCTGCAAAACCTCAGCAGCTTTTTCAACTAGGGCCTTGTTCCATAGTTTCAGCATGAGTACAGTCAAGTGAAATGTTTTTGGATTATTGAAAGTGGACTTTTCAATTCCTAAATTGCACATATAATCAATATTTGAGTTAGTCTGGCTAAATGACTAAAACGATAATTAAAATATAGTAAAGCATCCCAGGAATTACACCCATAAATGATCTAGACATAGTTTCTAGACTTCTATCAAAAGTTTTCAAGTTTTAAAGTACAAGTCAAGAAGCATCAGGAAAGTAAAGACTGGGGTGAAAGAATAGTGTTCTTCACTTCTTCTAGGAAACTAGAAGGGAAGACACACACACACACACACACACACACACACACACACACACACACACACACATATATTACATAACTGTTCTGTCTAGGAGACTAGGGATGATATAATGAGGCATCAAAGGGAAGGCATATATAGATGACACAAAACTTCCTCAAAAACATGCTAGAATTTTCTTACCAGACAGTTTAGATGGCTTTTCTTCTGTGGCAGATGACTTAGAAGCTTTAGGTGCATAACTCACAAGCGGTATCTGAGTTATATCAACTTTAACATGCTCATTATCATTTTCAGTTTTGAGTTCTACCACAACCTTTGGGGCTTTATTCAAATTCTCGCCCTCATCTGAAGTGCCTTCATTTGAAGAGCTTTCCAAATGGCCATCTTGATTAACTTCTGTAGCTTCAAGAATTGAGGTCTGAAAGTTAATGAGTTTATTTACCAGTTCAGTGTGTATGGCCAATGGAAGTGACACAAAGTGGGAGTAGTCCAGATTTGGGCTTTTTACTGCCTGTAGAAAACAATCACATATATGTAGTCCATTAGGAGAAAACCTCTAAACATTAGTATTATTCAGTTAGACTTGGAATTTCCTTTTCACTGGTTTATATAGTTCAAAAGCTATAAAAGTGTAGAACTTTTTTTTTTTTAAATGATGCATTTGTTGGAAATTTCAGGTACAAAAGTTAACAAAGTCGAGTATGTGATATATATATATATATATATATATATATATATATATATATATATATATATATATATATATATATATATATATATATATTAAAAAGGAACAATTTCCTCTTTTTTTTTTTTTATTAAATCTAAAAATGAAGGGTTCATAAAAACCTCATCAATTACAAGCTTGACTCTGTCTGCAGCTTTTGCTACACTTTCAGCAGAATCACCTTCAATTGCTGAATTAGAAACCATTATAAATATGTCAAAAATTGATAGCTAGGAAAGATGCAAATAATATAATGCCATTGAAGAAGCACGCAAATATTCATGCCACAGAAAATTTCATCATGACAAGTAAAGATTAAATAAGAGATGTGAAAAGGAGGGAAAATGAGGTAGAAGTTAGGAAGTTAGACAACTTCCACAGAGATACATATATGGAGTAGTTGGTAAATTTGTAAACTATCTGACCAAGTATAGTGTCTAAACAGTGGCAGCAATGAAGCACATACGTCTTAGACTCTTATCAGAATTGTAACTTGGGCTAATATTGTTATGACTAGAACAATTATATTCAAATGAAATAGTGAAGCAAAATTCATAAGTGGGATTCACTCAGCCAGAAACATGAAGCTTACTGATAGAGGCTTCCTTTTTGGATAAAGGAAATATAATTTCAACACCCAGATCCTCTTCAATCTTTTTCTGTGTGACTCCCCTGTTTCAAAAACTATCAAATGTTAACAGGAAGTTATTTTTATTTGAAGGAAGGATGTTTGCACAGAGTTATACCCTTTCCCTTTGATGAAATGCATCAAAGAAGTCCCTGTCTGCAAGCACATAGGTACATTAGATAAAAAAGTTGTGAAGAGGCATTAAGTGTAGAAGATTTACTTTATCTCAAGATTATCACAAATATAAACACACATTTCTTTTCTTTTATACATACATACATAAATACACACACACACACACACACACACATATTTATATATATATATATATATATATATATATATATATATATATATATATATATATGTATGTATGTATGTATGTTTGTGAAATCTTCACATTATGTAAAGACATTATCTATCTGTAAAGTACTTATAAGACTTCAATGAGTTAAGGATGTGTGTACGTGTGTTTCATATATTGAACGTATAGACTAAGGAAAGCAATATATAAAATATAAATAGTTCAGTCATCAAAGATAAGTAGGTGCCAGAGCACTTGAATATCACAGAATGAGGCGTCTTCTTAACTATACAAATTATATCACAACTAAGGCATCTTACAAATACAAATTATAGCAACAAGTGAGCAGTTAACCATCTATCTAACTATTATTCTTTTGGAACCCACTAAATATTTCTCTTCACAATTTTAATATGTTGAAAATCATAGTGCAACATCTGTAGGTAACAAATCTGCCCAAGTCAATAGTTAGGCCAGTATAACAGTGAAAAGGATGAGCATAAGGCATTATTCAAGAGTTCATAACCAGATAAAAGTAATCAATAGGTGAAAAGAGGAACAACTGCAAAATCACCCATTTGACACATCCATAACTCTACCTCTATTGAAATTGAATGCTTCTCAGCCACAGAAATTGGTTGCTCATCAACAGATGGTGTTGTTTGTCCTTCCACATTACTTCTTTCAATGCAGGTTTGGAATGTGTTTGGGTTAGAGACAGCTGCTTCAGCTTCAACACCTTCAGAAACAATCTCTGAGACAGTGGAAGAGATGGTATGATGACCTTCTTCCACTTGACTTCTGATATCATGTTTCTCCTGACCACTCAGAACATGACAATCCTCCACATTTGAGCTAGTATTTTTCACCATGGATTCTGCAAAATATCCAATTACTCAGTTGTTACCATCATGTTATTATATTATTTGGTTGAAACCTCAATGTAGAACACAAGGATATTAAATATCATCAACTGCAAGATCATGTTAAATTTGTACACATTAATTTATGCAAGCTGAAAGTGACTGAATTAGATAGTAGGAGAAAATGGACAAGCAAAATTTAACAGCATAAGATCAAGGCATGTTGAGAGATTCAAGAGAGAGCTCACCATCAGAAAAAAAAAAAAAAAAAAAAAAAAAAAAAAAAAAAAAAAAAAAAACCAAAGAGGTAAAAACACATTCCATCCAGTTTTTCTTTGACCATATAAAATGCCTCGATATTGAAATTTCAAAGCTACTCATATCCAGCAAATTATAAGCACTTACAAGACAAATCCATATACAGATCATAAATGCATATGAAGCTAGGTCTCAGAGGCCACAATCAACATAGTAACCATGAATCAAACTAGCAGACTATGCAAGAAGAAGTAAGAAACTTCACCCTCACAGGAACTTGACCGAGTGGAGACTGGTCTCCATACTTGAATTACCACTTTCTGTTTCTTCTTCTCCTTAACAATCCGCAACGCTTTTTTCAAGTCCATCCCCGAATTATAGTTGAAACCAGTGTAGTAGGAGCATCCCTACGCCATTACATATCAGCAAGCATTAGATTATCATATTACACCAATCTCATTATTAGGAAACAACAATCAAAAATTAAAATAACAGAAAAATCAACATACAGGTAAGTATGGCAGGCTCTTTGAGATTACGCAAGTCTTCTTGGCTAGCAAAGCAAGGTCGGCTCTGAGAAGATAATTGAACATAAAATAAAATCATAACTAAAACTGATATTCCTTATATCAAAATCATGAATAAGGAGATGACGGAAGTGCTATGCTTTCATTGTTCTTCAGAATGAAGTGATCAAGTGAAGAGGGTTAGAGAAGTGGAGAGAATGCGTACCTGAAGAGAAACCTTGTAGCTATCATTCCTGAACCCCGTTGTAGACGGCGGCGGCAGTTGAAAATAAGTGTATGAGTGAAATTACTTTTTTAATCATTTCTTTTGGGATTATTATTACACCACCTGACCACCACGTGAACAATTCAGTTACAAATCGGTTCGAACAAAATTTGAATCCGCTAATGGTTACGGCTTTTTAAACATTTTAGTTAATGATTAATTCAATTTAAAAGTGTTTATTAACCGAATTAACCAAATATTTTTTAACCGAATTATGTATATATGTGTGTGTGAGACTTTTGCTATAAAATTAGTTTTGAGATGAATTTTTTAGCAAAGATTTTGGTAACATATTACGGGCTTTTTTTTAGTAGGAATAAAGGTTATCTGAGTGGTACCTACTCATGGTTTTTATCATTATAGCACTTTAAGAATATTTGGGAAAAAACTAAGACCGTCAACTGGTTTATGTTTACTAATAAGTTAACTTCTACATGGATTAGATTGGATGACTTCTTACACCGGAAGTCAAGACCTAGAGCTTGATTTTCATAATTTTTTAGACATTTCAAATAATATCTGTCAAGTTCTAACTAATAATAAATTCTTATATATGTTACAAAGTCCTATTTATTTTGTCATAATATTTTACTTATTATTATGTATCTAAAAACATTATAAATGAATGGTAAACCTACCATTATGATGTATCTAAAAACATTTCTTCGGAATCAATCTACTTCCCTGCAAAAGATACCACCTTTTCTTTTTGCTATCTTCAAGCACGACTAATAAAGGCTAGAATTATTACACTGATTCCAAAATCCTTTTACATACATTCCGAGTTTTGAAGCAGAAGGAATATTCATAAAAATGGTTTGCCTAGGAGTTGTGTTTGGGTGCAAGAACTCTTCTGTAGAGTCATACATATTCTCAGCCTTGATAATCATGGCCATCCTCCTCGGTTTGCGTCTCCTATGTTATGCTATCTATCTGCTGCTGAAGAGAACGACGGAGTCTCCGAGCCACGAGGCGAGTTCCGACGGCGGCGCTGTGGATTTGCGGCCGAGTCTCTGGCAGATTTACCGGACTTGACCAACATTTTATTGCCGCCGGCCCGGTATCTCCAATCCTCTCAGCCTAGCACAGTAATTAATCAATTTGTTGCATTTTGCTTTTTGGTATATTCAATTTCTTGAAATAAAAGAAATATGGGGAAAAATTAAAGCATATGCTCAAGGCTAGGACCACCTGACCTTCCTTTTATGTTGTCGTTATTGTTGTAATTTTTAGTTGTTTGTTTGGTTACTACTTTGAGGGTAATTTGTATGGAGTAGTCTTAATGTGGATTATCAAACTTTTTTAAGGATAAAATAAGAAGTACTAGCTAAGCACCTTATGCTCAGATGGTACACGGATTAAACTTTTATATGGGCGATTATGAGTTTGAACCTCAGTAGAGGTGTTATCAATTTTTTGTGTTTTTTTCAGTAGTTTGAGAAACTAGAAATAATTATGAACATATACTACATTGTAACAAAGTCAATAACATTCAAAAATATAAAATAATAATGAGTACCAACTTTTTTTTTCCATATATGATAATAAAATTATATTTATTCATTAATTGTTATGAATGAGTCTGATGCATTAAAAAATAAATATATTTATATTGTTTCTGGTGAATTTTTTGTTATTATCCATACAGCATGATTAATTTTTTTTAAAGAAAGGAAATTCATTCATCCTTGTTATGCATATAATGTATTAGGGAAGTCAGAATACATGTTATAAAAAAAGGGAAAATGGCACTTTTTCCCCCTATGTTATATGCTTATAGCACTTTTTCTCCCTGAGTTATTCATGCATCCACATTTGTCCCCTCAATTATTATAAAAGTGGCGGTTTTTCACCCTGATAATATTAAATAGACATTTTTACCCTTAAAATACATATTTTATTTATTTCTCTTGTTCAACAAATTATTGTTTATACGTAGGGATGGCCACGGTTCGGTTCGAACTGAACCGAACACTATAGCAATCAAATAAAAAAAATTTCGGTTATGATTCATAACATAACCCAATATTTGGGTTTCCGTTTATTAAAATTGTGAAGTGGAAAAAAATAGATTTTGAACCGTGAACCAGAGGTTCAAATCGGAACAACTACTAGCAATAGCTTAAAATTAGAATTATAATATTTGCAAATAGTGTATGTTTTTTTCGCATTTATATTGACTCTCACATATAAGTATATATAATCGCGATTTGGTTTTTATTTTGAATCGTTGTTTCACAATTTCGGATCCAATTTGAACTGTTGGTTCAAACATTATTTTAAAATTTTATTTTTTTATTTTTAAAGTATTCTAAATTCAACAATTAATGTATTTTATTTCTTCAAATTGTGGTTATAATTTGTTGGAGAAGTAAAATAAAGGAAATATTTATTTTAAGGGTAAATATGTCCATTTAATATATCAGGGGGGAAAATTGCCACTTAAATAATATAGGGGGAAAAAGTGCTATAAGTATATAACACAGGGGAAAAAGTGCCATTTTCCCTATAAAAAAATTATCCAGACTAAAATGCAATCAGACCATAAAGTACTTGACCAAAACATGATTGTTTTGCGATGAGTAATAATAAAAACATAACTAATGAAATGTTATAATTCATCATCATTATGGACATTATTATTGTAACGTATGTAACTGTTATACATTTATTGCATCAATTTAATACCTTTGTATTATGTATATATACTCTATACTTAGCTTGTTGTAGATGAAGATGATAATGAAGAGACTATCATCCTTTCTCCCTCATCTCTCTATTCACTATTCTATTTTTTCCTTTTAACACGTTATCAGCACGAGCTCTAACCAACAGAGGCTCCAGGCCGGCGATTATCACAGTGGTTGGAGATTGGGGCTCTTCAAGGTACTTCTATTTTCTGGTCACACTTTAAAGTACTGGTGTGGTGAGCTTATCATCTGCAATTGTTTCTAATCGGCTGGTCCAAAGTGATCTGGCTGGTCATAGAACACATGAAATCATTGTTCCTAATCGGCCTACCTTTGGTAATTTGGCTGGTCATAGGACCTTTGATGGAGCTACTCAAACCACACTACCAGTACTTAGTGTTCCTGCTAGTGATAGTGCTATTGTTTCTGATTTTCTGGTCTTGATAATATGAATACCACTGTTAATGAATCACAAAGTGTTAGTGGTCCTAGTGTTAATGCTCTTAATTGGCTAAGTATTGGTAATGTCCCTTTGATTTCTTCTGTTGCTAATAATCCACTTAGTCGTGGCAATGAGGCAGTAAACAGAATCCAGTTTGATAATTTTTTTTAACCATGTTAATAAGGATATGTGTGTTTGTATTATCCATTTCCAGAACCTGATAACATATGCATTATGACTAATTTTTTGTATGTATATGTGCGTATGCATATTATAAACCCAGTATCAAAGCAAAATTAGCTTGTGGGAGTACACTTCTTAGCATAGAAATATAGTGGAAATCAAATCAAAGGTTGGAAAATCATGCTAGAGTTTCGACCATACTCTAGCGAGCTTTGTCTTTGATCCTACTTGATTAAAACTGCTACATCATCTATGCCTACTTGATTGATTATGCACTTCATATTATTGCCTTGAATTATGTCAATAAATTATTATTATTATTAGGCAATACAATCATATTGCATAATGTTGTTATACCATGTCAAATTATAAACTGAAATGTGGTAAAAGGCATAGATTACTTGAACTTAGATGAGTGATTATCTTTTTAGATAATTTTGACTATGCTTATTATTTAAGATAATAATATGTCATATGCATGTCCATCCTGTTGATGCCTAATTTTTTTTGAGAGCTTAATTGAAATATATAATGTTGTGACACTACTGATTATTACATGACAATTATTGTTGTGCCACAATTTGCTCTCTTATGCAATATGGCTATGTGTATATCATAGAAGAAAATGTGACATAACAATTATTTGCTATAGGCCATATATGTTAAGATTTATTATAAATCTTAATGGGTGCTTTGCCCAGATGAAAAATTAAAGTCATTGATTTATATACTTATTATACGATAGTCCTTGTAGGATTGTCATGATCAACAAGTGGTTACAACATGAATTTTACACATAGCATTGCCCAGAAGGCGAATTCATAGCACTAGTTATATGATAATAACACTACGACAATTTATATGACTAATGTCAAATTGAGTTAATTCTGTTTTGGAAGTCAAATGATTTATTTTTTCAAATTCATGCATATTGATGGTGCTAATTTTTATCATAAAATTATATGGCATGAGTCTTGAATCTTGAATATCTCAAATGTGAGTATTTGAACACAATAAAAGTGCATATTTTCAATATTGTTTTGCCCAGAAGGTAAACACTTAGAGCACTAATTTTTATTTGACACCTTTTAGTCTAAACCATCGGTTATGAATATTTGATCGAAAAGATTTAGAGTCTAAGTTGATCCCTGAAGGATCGTATGATCCTATGATCAATAAATTATTGTGATCCATTAATGTACAAAATGGACGCATGATCTGAGAAGTTAATTCTCGTGGGTCACCCGAAATTATTTGACAATTTAGAATTTACTTCTCTATGTTTAATTTTCTGGACGGGTTTTTACTTCCCGGATGGTACCTTTTCGGATTGTACATGAATCCGTTGTACTCTAGTAGAAGTACATAACTAAAAATTATTTAAAATAGTGTGCGTCTCATTGTCATATGTGATAGTCACCTTGTACTCCTGTAGTAGTACATGACCAGATTATAATAAGTATTTTGAATGTCATTGTTTTTTAAAAAGACATCAAAATTTTAGTTTTTTTTTGTTGGAATGTACTTTATGAGTTCCGTGCCTTTCCTACTTGGCAAATATGCTTGGTCATTGGATCGTTTTTAATAAAGGTCTATAAGACCTCAAATGGGATTGATCTTTAAGGTGATTTATGACTCATGAATGAAGTTTGCAACTTCTATTTCTAATGCTATGCTACTGTCCAAAAGTTAAAATTGACTCACATCATGTTGGTTTGCCTG